CAATCTCTATTGTTTCAGATCGATACGTGTGCTTTACTTTCAAATTCTTGAAGAAATTTCATGAGGAGATGGGTACCCGACTGCATTTCAACACTGTATACCATGCACTGACAGATATACAGAGCAAGCAGAGAATTCAGATGCTTGAGGACATGTTGCCTGCATGTGTTATGGACTTCGGAGTAAGTAGGGACACTTATTTTCCCTTAACTGAGTTTTCTTACAACAACAACCATCATTCGAGTATTTGTATGCCTCCCTTTGAGCTTCTTTATGGGAGGAGGTGTCAGACTCCCATTTGTTGGGGAGAGGTAGGGCAACATGTGATGGGTGGCACTAAGATAGTACTGAAGAAGAATGAGCAGATTCAGCAAGTCAGACATAGGTTACTCACAGCCCAGAGTCGCCAGAAGAGTTATTGAACAGGCGACGATCCAAGCTAGAGTTCCAGGTTGGATATTTCGTACTCCTAAAGATGACTGCTTTGGTAAGGGGTGATTTGATTTAGGAAAATGGGCTTGATCGGGCCCTAGTACATTTGCCCTTTCAAAGTGACCACCAGAGTGGGTAAGGTAGCATACCGGCTAGAGCTACCTGCAGAGTTCAGTCTGATCCATAACACCTTCCACGTGTCTCAGTTGTGGAAGCTTGTAGCTGATGAGACTGAAGTGGTGACATTAGAGGACATCCATGTGGATGCCAACCTGGATTATATTGAGAGGCCGATTACGATCTTGGATCGAAAGGTGAAAGTTGTAAGTAACAAATAGGTTCCTGTGGTTCATGTCCAGTGGCAACATCAGAGACGGTCCGAGTTGACTTGGGAGCCGGAATTCGAGATGCAAGACAAGTACCCGGAGTTATTCTCAGAGCATGACTTCGAGGGAGAACTCTTATTCTAGTGGGGGAGTATTGTAACATCCGGACTTCTATGTATATTGTTTATTTATTTATTTTGAGGACTATTGATAAAATCATAGAGTTGGTGCGACAACTCGCCAAGTAAAGTTTCGTTGTGCTACATGGGATTAATAATTTACTCAACGAGTTAGAGAGTCGACTCACCGAGTAGATGATGTGAAGTGAAACCCTAAATCCCCAGGTTTGGGGCCTATTTAAGGGCACATATAGCCTCAATTGTGGCTTATCAACTGCTTACCTTCACTGAGAGAAACCCTAATAGAGAGAGTGTAAGCTAAAATTGAGTATCTTGGTGCATCTTTGCAAGAGACGACAAGGATTTCAAGCAATGAGCAAGAGGAGGCTATTAGATCTGTTGTTATTCATATTAGTTTGGGTAGATCCCATATTATTGAATTTTAGGACTTCTTTTCTATCTAATATTGGGACATTGGGTGTTTTAAGCACATATAGAGATTTTGACATCAGATATGGACTTTGTGAGGTACCTAGAGTCCAAAGATCCCTGCTTTACTTAGCCATAATAGAGACTTGAGCGAAAAACCCTTAATAGAGCATGTTTTTGTAATTTCAAGCCCTAAGCTCCATGCATGAATGTAAAGCTTATGGCTTTACATGATTAGCGATCCTTGAGAGCTTAGATCTAGAGTGTGAGAGGGTTTCTGCCTTGAGATCTTTTGTTTGCAACATGGGTCTCAATGGACTCATCGAGTCGATGAGTTGACTCGCCGAGTCAGTTAGCGTTAGTCCCGATGAGCTGGCCATACTATAACTCGGCAAGTTAGGGGTTAACTTGATGAGGTGGACCTTCACGAGACTTTTGAGGAATGAGTGGACTCGACGAGTCACATGAGTGCACTCACCGAGTCAGATCAAACCTGGACTATTGACTCGAGTTTGACTTATGTTGACTTGAGGGTTTGGTTAACCTGAGTAATAGAGACCATAGAGGGGTAAAATGGTCTTTTACCCATCCCAAGAGTTAGAGAGAAAGAGAGAACAACATTTGGTATATTTGAGTATGATTAGAATATTAATTAGGGATAATCATCCTATGTGTTAGGCGGAGGCTAGTTCGAGATTTCCGAGTACGATACTTTACTAGCTAGCTTACGAGGTGAGTCTTCTCAATATACTTACCATGAGTGGTATTGTTTTGTGACTAAGATGTCTTATGTGTTTATCTGTTTATTGTGATACTCAACATTTTGTCTTTGTGGATTATGCTTATTGTTGTGAACTTATTGAGTTAGGGTCGGAGGGTCCACCCGAGTTGTGTGACCGGAGGGTCTCCACTGGAACACACTGACTAGTGGGTCATATTGAGTTAGCATCGAGTGGCTTATGTGATGTGTGTGGTATTTTGGGGAACTCACCAAGCTTTGTGGTTACCGTGTTATATGTTATGTGTTTCAGGTACTTCTCAGGATCGCGAGAAGGCATCAGCTTGATTATACACACACTTGCTTTGAATATTTGTTTTTGGAGGATCCTAGATTTAATGTATATATAGTTTTCGGATATGAGATTTGATGATTTGACCATGTGACATTTTGTGATTTTATTATTGAGATAAAGGTGTTTTAAATTGAAAAAAAAAAATTGGTTTAAAATTTTATTTTGTTACAGGTGTATGATCTTTGCTTATGGTTTTGGTGTTACAGCTACAACAATATCAATGGAGGGATTCAAGGTATCTGATGCAGAATTAGTGTTATATTTATAGCCATCAAAGTGCATTAGAGGACATCTTTTGTGAACTTAGTTCAATTCTTTTTAATATATAGTATTAATTTGATGTAATTTATTCAAGCTGACTGTGTTTTCATGTAATTCTAGACCATTGGTCAAAAACAGTATATACATGAAAGTAAATTGATTTCTATACATCAATTGATAAAAAAATGATACATGTACAAATAATAATACAATATACCAAGGTTTTAAATGGCGTGAGGTGTGGCGTGGCGACAAGGCTAAGCCCCGAGCATAATGAGCCATGGCATTTTTCAAGGCGTGATGTAAGGCGGCGATTTTGTATTAATTTATAGTTGTATTACCACATAAATATAAATTTATATTAAATATAACTACTCTTTAGAAGTGTTATATCAATAACTAATAACAAAAATGTGAACAAAAAACACAATACTTGTATCTCCGATTAGAAAAGACATAACAAAGAGAAAAAACATGTCTCAAACGAAAAAACGTGTGCCATAACGTGCCATGGCACGTCATATCATGTGTAGCCACGCACCATGCCTAACAACAACATTATGGGGCTTTACGTAACGGCGAAGCCACTCCTCACGCCATTGCACGCCTTGACGCACGCCTTTTAGAACACTGCAATATACAATATAAGCATCACCTTAGTGATTAGTTGTCTTCTACATGAGAAAAAATTGATATAAAAAAGAAACATGATATGAGAATTAACTTGAAATACTGGAATAGAAATAAGCACTTCGGTCATCAAGATAGGGGTGATATGGCCACTATTGACATTAATGGTATGAAGTCCTTATAAAAAAGTCAAATAATTTGTGTTTTTTAAAAATCGGTCATACAGCTTTCTAGAATGAACACTTTGTCTCCTAGTAGCAGTAATAGAACTTGGTTGTTTTTTTGAAACGGGGTTATATACCCATAAAATGAAAAGTCCCGTTTGTTATGCTAGGAACCAGGTGACTTAAGTATAACATCCCCGGTTTTTTAAAAAGAATCGGGTCATATTGCTTCTCTCATTTTAGATCCTGGTTATTTTATAATATGTCCCGATTTTTCCAAAAACTGAGTCCTAATTGGCAAGTCTTATAAAGGGTTTTGTACTAGTGATTACATCAAGTTAGTGCAATATTCAGTTTTCTTAGGTCACTTACTCTATTGTTTTTCTCTTAATCTGATTATTTTAACCCAAAATTGTTTTGGAAAAACACACTAAACTTATTTAAGTACACATTCAAACACCCTCTTCTTATTTCCATATTATAAGAAAATTATGGGTTTAAATTGTCTTAATTTGATATGTTTAGACTTCAGAGCACTTTTTCTTTGTAATGAGTGATTGATTGTTTTGCAAGCCATGTTGCAAAAGCATTTAAATGACTTTATATTACATTAGGGAATCTTGGTTCCTAGATTACAATGAAATTGGAATCTCTAATTCCATTATGTGGCGTGTTTGGTTTAGAAAGCAACCAATGGAATTCAATTTCATGATATCTCTTAAAAAACATGTTTAAGGATATTCCAATTCCTTACAAAAACATCCTCTCAACCGAACGCCCCTTTACTGTTATACTTCTTTTTCTTTGAAGTTATTATTAAATTCAATAGATTCGTTATTTATGTAATCATATAATTGGCCAAGAAAACTACTTCACAACATATGCATTTGAATACAAGTACGAAATAACCCCTGCATTTTAAAAATAATACCAAACAACCCGCGTTGGTTCATAACCGGTACCATTCCGTAAACTGAACCAAACACATCCTGATTCCATATCCATTAAATACCAACATGACATCTATTGTAATTCATTTTAAACCCTTGAATGGTTACTACTTACTAAACATTCTATATGGATTATGGACGTCATTTAATTTATTTTAATTATGTATGTAGTTTACAGAAAGTGAAACAATATATGAAATAGTTTATTGTGATGCTGATGTAGGTGTAGGTGTAGGACACAAGGAATTAAAGGAGGGTGTAGTATATTGGCCTTGAAATAAACTCTTGAAAATTATTTTGTATCCCGCTTCTGTAAAGTGTATTCCATCCAAGTAAGCATACGCATTGGGGTCATCACATACAGTCGATAATGCATGTCCACATATCACAAATTTATTGTAGTTCAAGGGACCTCCACCTCCACAACACGACTTCAGAACCCTATTTGTGAATCCTGAAATTTTTTGAATTCCATCACAATAAGAACATCAGAATCCTAAATAAATTAATAATATGGGAAATTGTGTAGCACTAGCAATATTTTGGACGTGCCAAGAATTAAACCTTGGACCCCTTTCATTGAAGCAGAAGCAAGATTTTACAACATGTTATGTACCAAATTTAACTGGAGAATAGATAATTTGCATGGCACCATTGTAATAATCAGCATAGATCATGATGACATTAGGATGAAGCTCTCGAAGGTGTTTTAGTTTTGCTTGCACCACTTCATTGTGGTATTCGGCAATTTTATTAAACTTGATGAGGCAACCGGTTATGTTATCATACTCTTGTTTGTTTTGAGAACCACGTAATGTTAGAATTGAACTAGAACACCCAATTGGAAAGATTCCTGGAACAACCAATGTTTGAGCGCCCATATCAATTACTTCCTTTATTTAAAATTATGAGAAAATTATACACTAGAAAAGAATATTGTGAGTGGTGTTGTTGGTAGTAATTGTTTAAAATATAGTTTGTATGATTTGAATAGTTACATTAATTGCTGAGATGATGGTATCAATAACAAGGGGAACGTATGATTGAACCTCGTCGATTGATTTATCTTGCATTATTGGAGTGTTGTAATTGGTTCCACCAATCTCTCCCATTAGGATTAAAGAACGTCCAATTAAGTTTCTACAATCTGCAAACAATTATAATCAATAGAACTTACTAAATTGTGTTAGAATCTCAAAATTCTACACCAAAATCTTTCTCCTTTTAGCAAATTATAATCCTTTCCAATATATAACAAATTTTATTAACTCGTATGGTTGGTGCAATTGATATATAGTAGAAGCATATAATATGTATGTTCGATTACCTGAAGTGTTACTACAAATAGAAAGCAATGATTGTTTACACCATGCCAATTGAACTCCTAAAGATACATTTGCTGTAGGATTAATAGTCCCTCTTGTTTCATGAAAATATGTATCCAACGCTGTTGTAGACACCACCGCATAATTAATTCCTTGTTCAAACGACACCACATTGTCACTCTAATTGTCATGTAGAAAAGGCGGTATCAATGGTAGCCCTAGACTCTCAGCTTAAGGAACAACAAAAAGCAAATGTAAATTCATTAAGTCACATAGAACATGAATAACTTTATTCCAAAAAATGCAACGTTTAACTTTAACCCATGCAACAATACATACTTCATTAGATACTATCCACTAGATGTCACATATCTACAACTTGAGGCTACCCACTTGGCTCACATGAATATTCTAATACAACTTGAGGCTACCCACTTGTCATTCAAAAGTAGATGTCACGTATCTACAACTATCACTATATATGAATTGTTTCAAACCGACAATGAGTTACCAAGGAAGTCAATAATGAGGCGTCCATTGGAAGCACGACCAGTGGGTTGATGAAAAAAGGTTTCACCGTATGGCGGCCAAAGAGACTGAACCTTTGCATGGGACACGGAGGCAAGCTTTTTAATGTTGCCCGTGTCAGCCAGTAATTCACCAAAACTGATGATGGACGTATAGCATCCATTGACATAAAAGAATCTATTCCATAATAACAACATCTGCAAAATCACTAAGATTGTGCTTTTAGAAAACACCATTGGAATTGAAAAAGCTTCAAGTATGTCGTTTGAAAAGAGATAAGGTAACAAAATTTTATGTCAAAGTTTCAAATAACTATGTTGATAAATATAATGAAAAAAATAACATGTTATTTAATAAAATATGCAATGCTTTTGTTGGCTTTTTAACATGTTTTTCATGTAATTAGAAAAAAATGTAAGGTTTCTTGGTTTTTAACATGTTATTCATTTTCTTGTTGAAACTTACCAACAAAAATGATTTTTTTTCAAAAAATTATATTTAATATATTATTTGTGTGTGTTTCTCGAGCTAGGTTGTTTCTTATCTCTTCTATTGGGAAAAATATTTTGAGAGTAAACCATAAAAGTGTTATCTATGGTTTATAATTTTCTTTAACTAAAGTATAAAATAGTTTCACTACATTTTATCCTTTTGAGAAATTTTTATTGTAAATGAAGCTTTGTTAAAATTGAAATAAAACGTTGATGGTTAATGCACTTCAAATTGAAATTTCGTCCTTAAAATATATTTTTCTTATTTCTATTTTTTTATGAAATTAAAATATTAGAAAGGACCCATACATTACCCCACCCAAGCACCCTCTTCCCTTCTCCCCTCCACCGAAACCATTACTTTAACAGCCCCCACCCTGTCCCTCCTCCTCCTCCTCCTGTTTTGTTTCTATCTTGTCTGACAACCAGCATTGATGATCATAAGTACCTTCGACTTCCTGTTTATGCCTATGCCTCTAAACGTCCTAAACTTTCCTATTATGACCCTGTCTCTCAAACACCATGAATCATTTTGAGGCTCCACTTTAACTATTCACCAAACTGAGCTTTTTCTTACTTTCCAATTATTCCCTTGCCCCCATTTAACCATATCGAACGCATCACAAAATATACCTTCAACAAACTGATTCTCCGATTACCTATTTTTTTTAAGTGACGATTTCATTTACCACCAATTATTTATCAAAGAATGTTTCTGCCTTTAATGAAGATTTCAAACTACACTCTCTATACATCATACTGCTTTCACCACGCCCTGCAATTTGGGGTTAAGAAAACAAGAGTTATAAAATAAATAAAAATTAGACACTATTCTGTCAACAACAATAATCGATTTGTCTCTTTCAATTCTATCAAGAACCATGGACGAGTTTTTTATTGTCTCTGCTCGATTCATATTTTTTTCCTTCCATTCTTCAAGCAGCCATTTAATTTTATATCATTGTAGACATAGATTAGTATAGCCATATACAAATCTATGACTGAGATTACATAGATGTTTCACGAGATAAGTATGTTCCCCTGGTGGAGAGGGAATGGTTGGCCCTAGAGTTTCTGTCTCTCAAGCAGAAAACATAATCAGTGACTGAGATTACATAGATGTTTCACGAGAGAGCACTTTTCTGCCCTGAGCATGTGTTGACGGAGTAGGCGTGCATGAGCTAATTTTTCAGCATTCTGAGGAGGGATATTAGAGAGTTCGTGGTGAACTCGTCTTATCAGACATTTTTTGAGCTTCAGGAAAATGCTAGGATGAGGGAGATTGAGCTGGAAACTCAGGCTAGGGAGGATGTGGAGTCTCAGGGGAGAGACTAGAGGCCTGTGCAATCACAGTCGGCAGCTAAGTGGGCCAATCCCGCTGATTCGAGGAATGGGGACCAGAAGGGCCGCACTTGTGGAAAGTGCGGCAAGAGTCACGAAGGGTCATGTTGAGCAGGAATTTGCTACAAATGTGGCAAGGAGGAGCATATGGTGAAAGATTGCCCCAACGGGTATGCAGTTTTCTTCCACTACAACGAGACCATCCACCAGATGGCCGAGTGCCCCCAGCTTCATCAGGGATCAGCACATGGATCTGTACATACTGCTTTACTTGGTACTGATAGTCAGATGGTGAAGGCCGAGTTCCGAGGGGTAGTTGTATAGCTTTTCAGCTGACAACAGAGGATGTTCGCTCAACACCTGATGTCGTGGCTGGTACGTATTTCCTTTTTATTTAATTATTTTGAGATTTATTATGTTTATTCTGTGTTATATTTAGGTACATTTCTTTTGAGTTCTGTACTTGCTTTAGTGTTATTCGACTACGGTGCAAGTCGATCCTTAATGTCCCTAGCTTTTAGTCATTACATCAGTATTCGACATGAGCATTGAGACGACCTTTACGAGTTTCTATAGCTAACAAGCATGCAGTTTTAGCTGTTGATGTGCTCTGAGGATGTGTGTTGAAGATTTTTGGTGTCGAGTTTCCGATTGATCTAGTATCGATTGTGATTAAGGTGTCTGTGTCATCGTGGGCATGGATTGGTTGAGTCGTTTTGGATCCATCATCGACTGCGAGTGTCAGTTAGTGACTATACGAGATCCCAGTGGGGGAGTGCTTACAGCGTATGGCTCGGGTACCAGATCTGGGTCAGCCTTCTACTCAGCTGCTAGGGCGAGGCAGAGTTTATAGCAGGGTTATATGGGTTTTCTCGTGTATGTGATGGATACGTAGGTTGCTACCGAGAGACCGAGTTCTATTGTCGAGGTTCCAATAGTGAGTGAGTTTACGAATGTTTTCCCTTACGAGTTACCGGGTGTGCCTACTGAGAAGCAAGTAGAGTTATAGATTGATTTGTTTCCGGAAGCAGCACCAATTGCCAAAGCACCTTATCGCCTTTTGCCACCAGAGATGCAGGAGTTATCCTCACAGCTCCAAGAGTTGTTGGGGAAGGGATTTATCAGACCGAGTAGCTCGCCATGTGTGACAATCGTCAATCTTGAGTCAAGTCAAGTCATCAAGTCAAACTGGCCAACTCGAGTAAACCTTGTGTATTACGGTTTGTGTTATGTTCATACTGTATAACTTGCTATATTAATGGGAAAACATCACTTGGGAAAAGTCTTGTGTTAAAATTTCCTGAGCCTTAGTGCTAATCAATGAACTAAACTAATAAAACCATGTTGCATACTCATCGGGAGTGTGTAGGATCCCTAATCATGACATAACGGGGCTCAAGAACCTTGCATTGCAGAGCCAAACACTCACAATTGTCACACATAGAACCTCTCTCAATCGTTTTCACTCTATCTCTCTCTATGACAAATCTCTCCCAAATCTCTCCAAGTATGTGAAATCTCTCTCAAATAGCTCCTTGTATGAGAAATCTCTCTCAAATATCTCTTTGTATGAGAAATCTCTCCAAGAATGTCAAATCTCTCCAAGTATGTGAAATCTCTCTCAAATATCTCTTTGTATGACAAATCTCTCCAAGAATGTCAAATCTCTTCCAAATCTCTCCAAGTATGTGAAATCTCTCTCAAATATCTCTTTGTATGAGAAATCTCTCCAAGAATATCAAATCTCTCCCAAATCTCTCCAAGTATGTGAAACATCTCTCAAATATCTCTTTGAATGAGAAATCTCTCAAAGAATGTCAAATCACTCCCAAATCTCTCCAAGTATGTGAAATCTCTCCCAAATCTCTCTCAAAAGTTTCCCGTAATTTTTCAGAATCATTCGGGTCATTCCGACCCTTAACCGGGTCAAAAACGGCTTAAAACGGGGTAAAAATGAGAAAAATAGACTTTAGGAACTGAAACCCTTCTCAAGGAGCCGAAGCTCCTTAAGGCTGAGACTAGGAACCGAAAGTAGCAAGGACCGAACCGAGCCCCTGTAGCTGAGACCGAGTCTCGGTCTCTGTCGCCTTCTCTCATATATGTCGCCTCTCGGTTCCTTCTTCCCTCTCTGTTCCTTCCGCCTCTCTGCTTCTGTTCGCCTCCCGCCTCTCTGCTCTCTCTTCTCTTCTCTCGGTCTCTGCTCTCTCTTCTCTTCTCTCGGTCTCTGTTCTCTCTTCCCTCCTCTCGGTCTCTGCTCCCTCCCTTCTCTTCTCTCAGTTTCTCCTCCCCTCTCGGTTTCTGCCCTCTTTCCTCTCGGTTTCAACATCAGAAGACCGAAACTCGGCCATATTTCGGAATTTTGTCACTTTTAGCCCCTTTTTGATATTTTTAACATTTTAAGCCCGTTTTTCGTGATTTTAAAGCGGGATTTTCTCCAGAAATTATATTTGAACATAATAAACCCTAAATATTCATAATTTAAACATATTTTGATGAAAATCATTATCTAAATAATAAAGATCTAATGGGGGCTTTATTTAAGGTGGAGTGTTGACCTTGCCTTAACTTATGTCACAAGCAACCACCCCACACCCACTCTATGACCAGCCACACCTCCCCACCTTACCTAGGTCACTTCAATGTCCTTTACACTCAATTTCTACTCATTTCCACGTTTTTAGAGCAGGAACAAACATCCTCTCTCCTCATTTGCTCTCCTTTCACTAAGTATCAAATACCACTTTTCTCTCAAACTTTTTCTCCACCAAATTCGAGATTCAAGGCTGATTTTCAAGTGTTCTTCCACACTTAGTTAGTATAATTCATCCTCCTTATGATTATTTCACTTCATTCTACTCAAATCATTGATTTCTTACACAAACTCCATAACTATGATGTTAGATTCTCGAAAATCTTCAAGGCATCTCCAAGTGTTCTTGAGTTAAACACTTCCATTCTTCAACAATCATCTACTGAAATCACTTAATGTGAGTTCATACCCCTACATTTTCAAGTTTTTAAGGGGGGAATACAAGTTAAAACACCAAGAACATAACTAAATTTTTCTAACAGCCTTCATCAGAAAAGTTCAACTCCATTCACGGACTGTTTTGGGAATCTTAAACATTTTTTTCCAAACTATACAAGTTGAAAATAGTTCAAGTTCTTATCTTTAAAATGACTACTTGCACATCTCCATACAATTTTTCTACAATTTATGGTGATTTTTACAAAACTGCCTATCATTTCAAACAACAATCCGGACCAGTCTGTGATTATGGACTTTTTCACCCAAGTTGGAGGTCATTAAAAGTCGTGATAAAAATTATGAGTAACTAGACACATTTTGTGAACTCTCAGAATTTACGAATCTAGTTTTCGACTTTGTATGATTTTCTATGATATTTCCAAAATAGTGCAGAATGGCTAAAGTTAGCCAACAGCATGTAAATATCATAACACTTTGTATTTTGTTGAGCAAAGTGTATAATCATAAATTCTAATTATTGAATGTGT